CATTCGATCGCACGTGTGCAAGATACCAAATTGGCGAACGTTGGGTTCCACCTACATTTTCCTAACCATTAAAGAGGAGGACCACGGAAAGAAACCGGAGGGGGCGGTGGTCATGACAGAGCACGCATGACCCAGTGCTGTGGATTCCACTCCAATCCATAAGGACCTTACAGGACAGAGTAGACATGTATGTCCCCAGGGGGTTACCAAAAGGAGACAGCCTCGTCTTTCTCCTCAGGAGCAGCCGGCGGGTTTGAACGACCCATCTTTGGGTTGGCAGCTGGGTGTTTAACCCCTGCACCACTGAGAAAGGTAATTTTCACTGAACTCTACTCCCAATCGAAATGCCAAGTGATATTCTACTCCCAATGAAAATGGCAAGTGATTTGCGTGTGCCTAGTTATATCTACATGACAAAAATATATAGAAGGGCAGCCAAAAAAGACCCCCCTGAGGCATCTCTAGGCCCCTGGCCCAGTAGCCCTGGAGCTAAGGTATCTTAGAGATGAAAGAGATAATGATAATAATGATAAGAAACAGCTGTGATGCTCTGAGCTCCGACTATAGCCAGGGTCCACCTGAGACGTGTCCCTTGTGCAACATAGTGAGTTGCTTTCTATGGCCCTTCTAGCTATTCTGATAAGGAGCCCTGGTGACATTGTGGGTCACACACTGCACGTTTCGCAACCACCAGCCACTCTAAGGAAGAAAGGTTTGCATCCAGAGTTACAGACTCAGAACCCCACGGGGAGGGAATTCTAAAGAATCGCTCCAAGTCCTGCTCAACGCCATGTCAGGGAGTTCGAGGCTTTGTAACACCCCGCCAGTGACTGGGTGGAGCTACCCAAATGAGGTGCTTGTGGCCCATCAAAGAGATTGACTAGTTTGTTAACCAAGTCCGAGGGGTACCACCACCACCCAAAAAATATAACAGGGGAAAAAGCTCTGTAATGTTGGAGACGGCGAGATGTAGCAGCGCTCAAGTGGCAGCAACCGATGTAAGAGACGGCGTGAGACAGTGCAGCTGGCCTCCAGCTCTCAGAGTGGGAGGGAGGTTTGCTGGCAGAGTAGGATGCCCCTGGGCACTTATTGGCAGTGCTAAAGCACTTTGTAACGCTTGGCTCAGCAGGGAGCAGGACCGAATCAATCCAAGACCCCGGGCACGAGGGCCAGAGAGAATAAAGCTGAGAAGAGGCGGTTCTGATTGAAGAAGTGGGTCCTGAATCGGTTCTGTTCCTGTGACCTCCCAATCACGAGCATGGTCTGTGAGCTCTGGGGGGGGCATGGCAAAGAACAGCAGACCCCAGCCAGGGAAGCAGAGAGTACCTTGGCAGCATGGGCAGGTGTCAGAAACGGTGAGAGGAGGCATGCCTGCCCCCTGCCTGGGGGGAATGAGCTGAGGGTGATTCTCTCTCCCCTCTGCAATTTAAGAGGCCAGAACTCTTCACCAGGGCCATTTTTAGGAGTGTCGTGGGTTGTGCATCGGGCCGGATAACTGCAAGGTCAGCTGTTCAAAACCAGCAGCTGCTTCTTGGGAGAAAGAGGAAGCTGTCTATTCCTGTAACGAGTAACAAGGTCTGAAACTCACAGGGTCAGCTCTACTCTGTCCTATCATGGGGTCACTGAGTCATCACAGACTGGATGGAAGTGAACGAGTCTGAGAGTTCTATTTACAGTGATGGGAAATTTGGGCAACACATCAGCAGACGAATGGATAAATAAGTGGAATGTGACGCACAGCTAAAGAGCAACGATGAAACTGTCCCACGGCTCGTGACATGAGTGGATTTGGAAGACAGCTGATGAGCAAAGTCGGTCCATCCCATACAGACACATTCTGCATGAGACAATTGAACTATTGAACATGGGGGAGGGGGATCAAGACAAATGGGGTTCTTACCTAAAACAAGCAGACTTTGATGGCTACTGAGAAGTTGGAGATGGGAAGGGTGGCAAGGGAGGGGAGGAGAAAATAAATAAGTGATGAGATTAAGTAAATAAAAAATACAGAGATCGTTCCATACGGAGGCAAACAGACCAGTAGATAAGACAGAACTTGAAGAAAAACTCGGGTGTTGAATCTCTTCTCGACTCACAGAGACCGCGTAGGACAGAGTAGGACCGTCTCCTTGGGTTTCCAAGACTGTCAATCTTGATGGAGTAGAAAGTCTCACCTTGCTCCCAAGGAGCAGCTCGTGGTTTTGAACTACTGACCTTACCATCAGCAGCCCACTACCTCTAACTTACACTCCACCACGAGGCTCCTTAACATAGGTAGTAGCATAGGTTTATTTTGTTCTTGGTTGTTGTTTTTTTTTAAGACATTTGCTTAAAAAAAAAAAGAAACCTTGGGCAACAATGATGGGCGGTGGTGGTTCACCTTGATGAATATAATTGACATCACAAAGTTGTGCACCTGAACATGTTAAATTGGCAAATGGGAAGTTACATGTTTTTGTAAGTACTCTTTCATGGTGTGTTGAGTGAAGGTTTACACGGCAGGTTGAAGTTTCTGTTCAACAATGTCCACACAAGTTGTTTGGGGACATGGGTCACCTTCTTCGTGACCTGTGCACGCCTCGTCTCACAGTTTCCCTTCCAGGGCTTCTGTTTTCATGCATCTAGTTTCTGTGCCCCATCCCTCCCCACCCCCACCCCACTAACATTCTCATCTTTGTTTAAAAGTCATTGTTGCTGGTGCGGGCTCATGGAGATAGAGGCTGTGGTAGTCACTTAATCCAGTGTCAACTTCAGACTATTAAGAGTGAAGGGGTGGAGTCTAGCCTGTCAATCAGGTCACAGCTTGATGACCTC